CATGTCCTGAAGACGCTGTGTGCTTGGTTGTGAAAGCGAAACTACTTTGTTTGGTCTTCCAAAAGAGGACGATATCTGCTTTGTCATGCCTAGAGCTGATCCGTGCTGGTCGCTGAGGAAATACATCAACTTTCACCTTGGACAAAGCGGAGTCCAGCCTGCCTCAGCTCACTCTATCCCGCACGCTAAGCCGGGGCTTCCCTAATCAGTAATTATGTCTCCACTGGATGCAACAAATACCTCATTTATAATGGGTTTTAATGTTTATGTCTCGTCGCTCCGGCCGGACACGGCATCAACACCAGTATGTGAGGGGCGTAACATTTCCGTCACACGCTTGAGGTATTCAGCCAATCACAATGCACTGGATAGCTGGCCAATCACAGCACACCTCGCTTTTCAGACCGATGAGCTTTGTAAAAATCGACGCGTTTCAGAAAGGCTATAGAGGAGAAACAATAATGTACAGTATGTGGAAAATTTGTTTTTTTTAACCTTAAACCGCATAAACACATTTCGTTACACCAAATAATGTTCTTTTTAGCAGCATCATATGACCCTTTTAAGTTATTAAAATTCAGAGTGGTTCTCTACTGAATAATACAGGTTAAACTCAAATCAACACTTCTCTCACAAATCACCATCTAGACAATTAAATACTTTAGAATAGAACATTTTGAAAACTAGGGAAAAGTAAAAATAGACATTTCCATGACTTTTATATTAGATTTCAGCTCCCACTGTTAAAAGGTATTAATGGCAAAGTTGAATTTTTTTCCCTCTGTTGACATACATTTTAGCTGCCTGAACATAAAATTAATGATGTAATTTTGTGTTGCACGTGGAAACTCCTCACCTTTCGGTGACAACTCAAAATTTGAGATCAAAATAGGTCTTAATCTTTTATAACATCGATTTTGACCAAATATATTCAATCTTGATTTTTGTAAAATGTTGCAACATGTTTTTTTGTGTGGAAAAAATTGTTTTGGACATAAGGTAATACAAATATATAACAAAATACCTTAAAGTGACTACAAATGAGCATGGAAAGCAAATATCTTTAAAAGAAATTCCATGTGGAGCATGCCTCCAGTCCGCGCAATGTTCTCACCTTTTTTCTCCCTTACCCGATTGCATCTCTGAAAAATATTAGACGGGAGATGTCCCAAATAATTGAAAAATTACAAATGCATCCCAACTTGCCAAAACCTACAGCAGGAAATTAACTCTGCGAGAACCAATAGAGTCTGAGACCTGTAGAAAAGGTGTCAAACGTGGTGAAAGAACAAGGAAAAACAGGAAAGAAAACAAATCCAGCAGAGTGAACCAACATCAAGCCTAGACAGAAAAAACAACATCTAAAAGCACATTTGATGGTCAAGGAAGCTAAAGGGTCCAGAGCCCAAACACAGGAGGAGAGACTGTTTTGAAGCCGTCTAAATTTATAGTGAATATAGTGGAGAGAATACAAGATTAAAGCTACAGTACAACCATAAGACAATTGTGATAAACCAGAACATTTCAAAAAGTGAAGAGACATTTAAAAGAGAACTTCAAAATAACATTTCAGAATAATGCTCAATAAAACCAGGTGAGTGCAAAAGTCAGGTCCCGGTCTAGAGGTTAAAAATTATTTCATATTCTCTATAAGGGAATTGATTTTTAATGATAACTTACAAACCTTCAAAGACAGACCTGATGTGAACTTGGGGTTGTTAAATCAGTGGCACGTGCTTTTCCCGAAGCCATCAGTTTACATCATTTCAATTTCATTTTTAAAGAACTGAGTTTAACAGCAGAATTCCTGTTGAAAAATTACAATACCCATGATTTCACACACACACAAAAAAATCTCTATCAATCAGAGCCACAATTTGCAATTTTTCACTCCCACGAAGCACAGTGAATAACATAATTGTCTCACTATGCTCTCAAAATCTATCTATCTATCCTAAACACCGTTGCTATTCAAATCAACAACTTTGAATTTATATTTCTCCATTTTTATTGTCATTCAGAATTCTTAATGGGATTGTAGTTTTTTTTATCCCCTCAAAGCCATTAAGTACAGTCCTGTACCTTTATCTTTTTGTCTGTTTTTCCCTTCTTTTTTTGCCTAATAGTAATGTAATGTTCTGATTCACCGTATCACTGATTGATTTCATTTATGGCTTATACTCCTTTAACATGGACATTTTGAATATACTTACAGAAACCAAGGCTGCTGAAAAAGTGGCCCGCTGTTGCACGCTATTGTTTACTGTAAGGAGAAAAAAGGCAAAGTGTTGTTTCATATATGCAAATCTGGGTTTATTATTAAATGTATAAACTTAAACAAAATGAAACTGAAGTTTAATACCCCACACTTTAAAGGGTATAACGGTTTGCGTCAGTGCGAGTTGAAACGGTGTTATAATTCATGAAATATTCTCCTCTGTTGTGCCGTCATATAATACAATTTTTGCTCCAAGGCATGGACTGTATACATACACACAGCACAGTCCAAAGGTCTGTTCCTGACAGTTCATAACAGTTTGGTTTTGTCATAACACTCCCCAAACCTCTTCAAACGCTGAACACATCTTGGCACAGGTCAGAGCTGCAGACAGAGGATAGTTACTGATGGACACCGTCTTCTCTGTGTAGCCGACATTCACCTACGAGAGGATGGAGAAACAGATCAGTGATTTACTTAAAAAGCAATGACACGATTCACATTTATGTAATTATTATCTATTCATGGAGAATATACTTCATTTAGCTGTGAGGAGAAGTGTAAACAGACTCACTGTTCCATGTGCAAATGCTCCAATGACAACAGTGGCAGGTCTATCTTTAGGGACAAACAGCATCTCCTGCTTTGAACGATGTCGAATATCGGGGGCATCCAGGTGGCAGGTGGTCCAACACTGGATTTTTAATCAGCCTTAACAAACGCTGAGGACCATCTGCTGCTCTCACACTCAGCTTGTGCAGCAGCTGGACTATAAGAGGGCAAATAGTAGTAAGATAAACTTACAAATGTTTGCATTACAAAACTGTCAAAATTGACTGTTGATTACAGTAAATGCGCAAATGGAGTGAATTTACACATTAGTCCACAAAATCGTGCAAAAGTGCGAGGAATTCTTGTCTGTGGGTTGATCTCGATCAAAACATTCTTCTTTGTGTGAAGGTAGAAATTTATAGTGAATATAGTGGAGAGAAAACAAGATTAAAGCTACAGTACAACCATAAGACAATTGTGATAAACCAGAACATTTCAAAAAGTGAAGAGACATTTAAAAGAGAACTTCAAAATAACATTTCAGAATAATGCTCAATAAAACCAGGTGAGTGCAAAAGTCAGGTCCCGGTCTAGAGGTTAAAAATTATTTCATATTCTCTATAAGGGAATTGATTTTTAATGATAACTTACAAACCTTCAAAGACAGACCTGATGTGAACTTGGGGTTGTTAAATCAGTGGCACGTGCTTTTCCCGAAGCCATCAGTTTACATCATTTCAATTTCATTTTTAAAGAACTGAGTTTAACAGCAGAATTCCTGTTGAAAAATTACAATACCCATGATTTCACACACACACACACAAAAAAATCTCTATCAATCAGCCACAATTTGCAATTTTTCACTCCCACAAAGCACAGTGAATAACATAATTGTCTCACTATGCTCTCAAAATCTATCTATCCTAAACACCGTTGCTATTCAAATCAACAACTTTGAATTTATATTTCTCCATTTTTATTGTCATTCAGAATGCTTAATGGGATTGTAGTTTTTTTTATCCCCTCAAAGCCATTAAGTACAGTCCTGTACCTTTATCTTTTTGTCTGTTTTTCCCTTCTTTTTTTTGCCTAATAGTAATGTAATGTTCTGATTCACCGTATCACTGATTGATTTCATTTATGGCTTATACTCCTTTAACATGGACATTTTGAATATACTTACAGAAACCAAGGCTGCTGAAAAAGTGGCCTGCTGTTGCACGCTATTGTTTACTGTAAGGAGAAAAAAGGCAAAGTGTTGTTTCATATATGCAAATCTGGGTTTATTATTAAATGTATAAACAAAATGAAACTGAAGTTTAATACCCCACACTTTAAAGGGTATAACGGTTTGCGTCAGTGCGAGTTGAAACGGTGTTATAATTCATGAAATATTCTCCTCTGTTGTGCCGTCATATAATACAATTTTTGCTCCAAGGCATGGACTGTATACATACACACAGCACAGTCCAAAG